TTCAGAGCTTTAAATCAGGTTGTTATGCAGCTCTGTTGTTTAATAGGATTTATCGCCGCTTTCAGAGCTGATGTACGAGTACATAATTATATCATGATCCTGAATTCCAGTTTTGATCATTTTTTCTGTCGCTTTCCAATGTCTCCGCTTGAAAAGCAGTAGCATGTTTACCAAAGTAAAAGTTAGTCCTGTCGGGTAAAGGAAGATCCCCATTCACGAAAATAATTTCTGCTCTCGTTTTCTCAGTTCTTGAAGCATCCGTATAACATATTACCATGCCCCTCCTCGTACCTTCCGATACCTCTAACACATTCTCATACTCCACTTTCGTTTCAAATCTACGATCAAAGAGCCAGAACGGAATATGTGCCTCTTTCGGCATCGCCAGCACTGTAAGCACCCACCTAACTTCTTCACATGTATCTGGCTACACATGGCTATGAAGTATACCTTTCCTGCCAACCAGTCTCTTCCCAGCTCATGTTCTAGATATTTCAGTCCAATACATGGATTTATATGCCTTTGCTTTTAGATAAATATCTATAGGCGTTATCTGTAGTAAAAACTTTAAGCTCGCTGTGGGCCCCTGAGATAATTAAGCACATTATTGAATTAATCCAAACGCTACACCCATGTACAAGTGCAGATCTGACAATGGATTCATACATCCATAGTGTTTGTTTTGGGTTGATACCCGAGCCCAATACCCATTACCAATAACTCTTCTGCATTGCATCAGAATCGCTATCACATTGCGAATCATGTTTACCACATTGCGGTTTCCATGATAGTTTACTATTTATCACTACTCCCAGATATCTCACTGACGTATGTATTAGGATTATTTGGCCGTCTAGTATCAACGGTTTCAAATCGAAGTTTTCGACTCTACATAAAGAGGAATCTCTAACTTCCTTTGACTAAATCTTATTATATGGGGCTCAAATGCCGGAGCATAGTCCATTCCTATTCCTACGAAGAGTGAATCCATTACTATATTCCAAAGGAAAGGGGAAATAATCCTCCCTTGGCGACATCTCTTTCCAATGTGCCTAGTTGATTTCGCCCCTGCACACTTCACGGTAACTAGCCTGTGCCCGACCATAAGCCCGAACCACTGGCAACTGGTTTAGTGGCACGCCATCGCACATATCTCCGACATTTGTTGTCCAACTTAACTGGGGTCCAACCATATTCAAATATATTTGAAATGTGGCCGTCAGCAGACGGCAAACATTTTTTAATCTTTGTTAGCAGGTTTTTTCTTCCTGAAATACATTTTCATTAAAGCAGGTCTCTTGGGCTCTGTCATATAGTGATAGTGAAGGAAATAACAAACATCAAAAACGATCCGGAAATGCTCACAAGAAGGAATTTAAAGAGAACAACAATACGATATGTAAAAGGCTTATCATGAAAATTAAAAAGTAGATGAAATAATTTTTAATAAAGTATATGAAATAATTTAAAACAACCAATATACTCAGATTATGATTTCCAAAACCATTCTCAACAACATATAGGAGATATCAAACACAAACACATCAATAAAATGTAGCAAGATCTGGTTACCAATACTGAAAGAAGTAAGCAATAAGAATATATCAACACTAATGAGTTAATAGCGGGTCAGAGACTCATCTATAATTAACTATAACAAGCATAAAAAGGTCAGAATTTGATATCAATCCGAGTGACAACCACATCTCTCGGAATTTCACCTCAATACATGGCTGATACCGATAGGATCGAGGCCAAGTAAGTCAACTGTCAAATTCATATTTCCATCCACCGCCAATCAAAAACATTTACATGTTAAGATCATTCATAATTTATTGAAAACGATTTCTGAATCGAAAATCGGAATCAAAGCTAAAAGGTAAAATGTAATTTTCATTACAATCGATTGTGGCTTAATCCCATATAAAATAATATCTTGTTTAGAAATGTCTTTATCCCATTTATTTTTGGAACTTAACATTTTAGTAAATTCATTCAGACAATTATTCTTTAATTTATGCACTGACTTTCATCAAACTTGAATCTATAAGCTATAATCTATGATCTATAATCTTGAATTTATAGAGTTCATCCTATATGTGATCTTCATTTTTTTTAAATCTACTGAGCCGTTGGTTGTACCACGTACCACTCACAACTCAAAGATATGCATTCATTGGGAAGAATGGGAAACTATACCACAGAGGATATCGGAAGCCTTAATTTTTTCCGCTAATTTTGTGCAGCATTGTAGTTTTAAAGATTAAATATATGAAAGGGAAGCTATCTGCTGATAATTTTTATTTTTATTTGTTTTCTTTATTTATTTAATTATAAAGTCTTTGGAGGATTCGGTTGAAATGTTCCAGGTAACGAGCAGTGTATTTGTGCTGTGGGCTTGAGAAACCGCAAAAAATTTAAACATCTGCCATATTAATGTCTTAATAGATTCTGACGATACATTTCTTACATGAAGACTGTGTCCATATTGATTATGCACTCTTAAAATTAGCTCCAGATATATATCTCTCAGAGATAAATATACTGACCGATCACGTGGATATTAGAATATTTAAAAATATGCAACGGAAATTTATCTTGTTTTCTATTTTTGTTTGTGTAATAATGAAGAAAAATAACAAGTTCATTAGCTGAAGCGAATTCTAAATTATTTTGTACAATATAATAAAAACCTTTGGTTAAAAAATCTTATTTTAAGTGCAGCTTATTTGAAATACAATGATAGGAACTTTAATAGTTTATTATTACAAAAATTATACCCCCCTTTCAATCTACTTTATTTGATGTCATTAAATGTGTACAAGGTATATAAAATTATTCTTAAGTTTATTAAAATGTGTAACTTAAAACTTTAGTGTAGGTGTTAAGTTCGTTACCTCTGTTGAGTCGCCAAATATTTTACCTTTTTACCTATACTTTCCGTGGTCTACACTTTCTGTCTGTGAGTCACCTTGAATGACCCCTAGGTGCGAAAAGTAATCCTAGTTCCTCTCCCATCGTAGTTCTTCTTTTAATTTCCAGAATTGTAGTGTATTTAGTTTAGTTAGAATAGGTTAATTTAAGTGAACGTTATTACACATTTGCTGCTGACTGGATGGGCACAGCCCGATTGCTAAGAAAAAAAAGTGCATCTTAACTTTTTGGGACTAAAGGTAACATTTGTTTGAAATTGATATAGACCATCGACGGGCGATATATCTCTGGAGTTTACTGTACTTTTCAACCATATAAGGTCATATTTAATTAATTTAATTGATCTAAGAAAAGTTTTAGGAATTATTTAAAGTTTATTTCAGAAGTTTATTCAACATTTGTATATTCATTGTATGTTGTGTATTATTCGTATGCTTTTATTGATACGGAAGTGAATTTAAATTCTCATAGTCCAAGCTAGACGGTTGGTTTTTGGCTTAATTATAATGAAAAAGAGTACAATTATAAGATTTCTTCTTCTTATAGTGCCGTGCACCTATAGTGCGTTGGCGAATTATCTTAAGGCCAGACGTCTGTCTTTTCGGCATGCAAAAGATCGCCAGTGTTATTTATGCCTGTCCAGTTCTTTATGTTTCGTAGCCACGACATTTGTTTGCGACCTACTCCTCTCTTGCTTCCAATCTTTCCCTGGATGATTAGTTGAGGGATTGCGTATTTTTTCCTCTCAGAATATGGCCGAGGTATCCAATTTTTCGTACCTTGATCAAATTGAGCAGTTCTCTCTCAGTATTTGCCTTTCTTAAGACTTCCTCGTTTCTCACCCTATCTGTCCATGGTATGCGGAACATTCTTCGCAACGTCCACATTTCGAAGGCCTCCACTTATTAATGGAAGGTACTCTTAATGTCCATGTTTCCATGCCGTATAACAATATGGACCATACATAGCATTTAACCATCCTGTAGCGGAGATTAAAGGAAAGATTGCGGTTACATAGTAGCGGTTTAAATTTGATAAAAGTTTGTCTTCCTTGTTCGGTACGGCATTTTATTTCTTGTTGAGGATCCCATAGGTCATTTATCATCATTCCCAAGTATTTAAACGTTTTCACTTGATCGACTGGAGCATTATCTACTTGCAGTTGTATTCTTAAAAGTGCGTTTTTTCTTATTGCCATGCATTTAGTTTTTCCAGCATTTAACTTCAAGCCATATATTTTTCCTATGGTGTTTATTTTATTTAACATCAACTGCATATCATGTTCGTTGTTTGTTATTATCGCGGTGTCGTCGGCGTAACGAATGTTATTTATCGGAAACCCGTTTACATTTATTCCACACTCAGAGCCTCTGCCAGTGCCTCTGCAAAAATGGTCTCCACATAGAAATTGAAGAGCATAGGAGACAAAATACACCCCTGTCGCACCCCTCTTCAAATTTAAAATTTTTCTGTGTTGATTGATTTGTTCAGTCTCACTCGTGCTTTTTGATTCCATTAGAGATTCTGGATAACTCTTATATCTTTCTCGTCAATGTTAGCATTGTGTAGCATTTTTATCATTGCGTCATGTTTTACGGTGTCAAACGCTTTTTCATAATCGAGGAATGTTATGACTATATTCTTTCGTTGATCTATGCAGTTTTGTACAAGCGTATTCAAGCAGAAAGCTGCTTCACGTGTACCCAGTCCGCTTTTGAGACCAAATTATGTCTCACCGCTTAGATCTTCCAGCTTTCTGAACATTCTTGTGTGAAGAATGCGAAGAAACACCTTAAGCAAATGGCTCATTAAACTTATCAGTCTGTGGTCTTTGCATTTTGTTGCTATTTGTGATTTAGGGATCATTATAAAGGTAGAATAAAGCCAATCCGTTGGAATTAGTCGGTGTTAAAGGATTATACAGATGCAAAAATGCTTATTACGTTTGTATTAGTGCTACAGATTGATATTTTATTTTTTTATGTTTTTTTTCTTTCTTTGAAATGAACAAAAAGTGAATTTTTCTTTGTATCTATACGTCTAATAATTGTTTCTAACGTTAAAAGTATTAGGTTACGGTACTTTACGAGGAGAAAAAGCCTTTGTGAATCTTGGATCTGATCCTAGTGATGCGTGCAGCCACTCTAGTCCGGAAATACCTTCCAGTCCCATCCATAAGAATTTAGGTCATGACCATTCCTCTGAAGACTTGTACAGTTGGATGGCCAAACAAGATACTGCAACTTCGAACTTAGAAGGTAAATGATAAACATAGCTGTAATCAATACTTATCCAATGCTGTTTTAGGCTGTTTGGAGTCCAAAATAGACACAATGCATACTCAATCATCTGGAGATCGTGATACTTTACCCAAAGAAGAGGAGGTACCTTCAACTGGGGTACCCTTGTATCCCATCCAAGAGTCTGTCAGACTTTTAGACGCTAATCAAGTTTTTCAACCTCTACTGTCTGGTCTTGGAGTTATGCCACAACAACTTAGATTCACCACAATGTCAGATTCAAGTAATAATCTGATCGACTGATATCTATATATAATAATAATTACATAACTTTCTTTTTTAGGCGCAGGAAATGAAGTTACAACTTTAGATGCCCTTGGTTCCAATTTTTGTCTTGTGGGTAACATGGAGACTATGAGAATCGACATAGTTGTGTCAGAACATGGAAAAGTCGAAAAAAAGAAAGGGAAAAATAAAGGAAAGCGATTGTATATCGAGGTCAATGCAGGTATGAAAAATTAACACTCTATTTTAGTTTGTAGGATCAATAGGTCTGTACGTAGTATTGACAGCAGGTTGAGTTTTTTATTCTTGTTTAAACCTTGGCTTATGGTATACTAACTGAAAAATTTAAGCCTAAAAATAATAAGAGACAAATTCTGAATATTAGTTTCGTTCGTTTGTTATATACAAAAAGAATAAATTTACTATAAAAATTTAGGAATACAGTAATTATCTTCTAGTGCTTATCCTCCTGAGATGTTTGCGGTTACATCGGTCTAAACAATTGGAATCAACTGCTGTTCTGAACAGTTCGTATATTATTAATCCGCTTATCCGCTAGTAACACGATCTCATCTGCCTATCTAAGATTGGTGATTATTTCGCCATTGATTAATCTATCATCTGCTAAATCTTGTAAGGCTTCTCTGATTCTTCTCTTCTACGGCACTACAGCCCAAATTGAGCCTTGGCATCCTTTATTTTTTGCCTTGCCTCCCTTGCTTGTCTGTGGCTGATCCTCTCCATAACCGGACTCGTAAAAGGGCTTGTGCGTCGCTGTTTATTGTGTCTTCCCAGCGCTTTCTTGGCTTTCCAACCGGTCTCTTTTCCTGCATTCTAGCATTCAGTTCTCTTTTTGGTAGCCTATCCTCTTCCATTCTTATCACATGTCCGACCCATTGCAATCATTGTATTCTAATGAAGTCTGACAGTGGTGCTTCCTTATAAAGTTGATAAGGCTCGTTGTTGTATCGACTTCTGAAGATTCCGTTTTCCCTCACAGGTTCTAGTTTTCTCCTCAGTACTTTCCTTTCGATGTGTCGAGTTTGCTTTTGGATGTTTCTTTCAGGACCCATGCTTCACTGCATAGCATGCTATTGGTCGAATTAAGGTTTTATAGATTCTCATCTTTGTATTTCGGTGGAAATTTTTAGACCGAAATATATGGGACAGGGCAAAATAAGGTGTGTTTTCCTGCGTTATTCTCTTCCGTATTTCTCCATCTTCTGATCCGTCGACATATATTTCTACACACAGGTAACTGTAAACTTTCCAACCGTTTCTATGTCGTCTTCATGTATAATGTTTTGTGGTACTATATTTCTTCTCGTCTGTATCATTATTTTTATTTTTTCTGTGTTAATTTCCAGACCTAGCCTTTTTGTTTGCGTTTTAACTCTGCGTATATTTCCTGTGTTCCTGTTGGATGTTCTACTCATAATATTAATATCATCGGCATAAGCGGCCAGTTGAACCGTTCAGTTGGTCAGTAGGTTTCCTCGTCCAGTTTGCATTTGCCTAACCGTATACTCCAGTGCCAGGTTAATCAAAGTTGGGGGTTCTCATTAGTCTACTTAGCTTGTGTGGTATTGCCAATTCAGCCAATATATTGTAGAGTTTGTGCCTGTTTGAAGTCTACAGTGAACATCAATGTCATATTCCATGATTTACTCAAGATTTGTTTTACTGTAAATACTTGATCCAGTGTCGATATTTCTCGTCCGAAGCCCGTCTGATACTCTCCGATAATATTTTCTGCTAGTGGTTGGAGCCGCTGGTTTATAATATACGTGAGGACTTTATATGCTGTACATAGTAGAGAAATTCCACGGTAGTTTTTACACTGGAGTTTGTCGCCTTTTTTATAGATCGGGCATACTATACTTTTCTTACAGTCGTCGAGTATTTTCTTTTTTTGTCATATGTCTTTGATGAGCGCGTGTATGTGACTTGCTAGGTGGTCGCCACCTACCTTATACAATTCTGCTGGTATTTCGTCAACTCCCGGGGCTTTATTGTTTTTCTGACCTTATAGCTCGAGAACTTCCTGTATGGTTAGAGCTTCTACTCCATTCTCTACTTCATTCTCTTCTACGTAGTTCGTACCCATTTCATCTTCCATGTCTATTTGTATACCAAGTAGGGTCTGAAAATAATGCTTCTAGGTTTCTGTGACTTTCTGTTGGTCACAAATTATTTGCTCACTTCCATCTTTACATAGACTTGTTTGAGCCCCTCTAATTTAATTATTTTTGAAATTTTCTTCCATTTTTTCTATTTGTCCATTTTCATAGGCTTTTTTTTATTTCTACATATCTTGTCTGTTTACCGTCTTGCGACTTCAAATGATGTTCGTCTTTCCCGTGTTCTTCTTGTTATATACATTTTGTGTGTTTCATTTCTTTCCTTATTGCTTGTCTGCACTCGTCATCGAACCATGCTCCTCTTCTCGTCTTTTTCTTGTTTCCCAGGGTTGACGCTGCCGCTGTCAGTACTGCTGTTTTGACATTATTCCATTTGCCCTCTATGGAGTGCAGTTCTAGCGTTCTTAACTCATTTGCGACTTCTTTGAACTTCTATTTACATTCCTGAATCTTCAGTTTTTCCAGATCCAGTTTGTTTGTCTTTTGTTGTCTTTCGTTTCTTTGGTAACTCTGCATCTAAATTTGGTTTGAGTAAAAGATGGTCTGATCCACAGCATGCTCCTCGTCGTGTTCTTACATCTGAGATACTACTGGCTGTCCTTTTGTCTATCAGCACATTTGAGTGGTTGTGGTTCCATCTCGTGAAATCTATGTCATTTTGGGTATGTCTTTATTTGGAAATCCTTGCCTATTTTAGTATTCATATCACCCATTATAATCTTGATGTAATTTTTGGGCGCATTGTCATATACTATCTCCAGCTTTTGGTAGAAGGTTTCCTTTGTATGTTGTTCTTGTTTTTCTGTTGGGCAGTGAATGTTTTATCATTGTTAGGTTGAAGAAGTGGGTGCAAATTCTCAACTTGCATATCGTTTCACTGACTGCCTGGAAGTCTATGATTTTTGACTTAAAATCATTATCCACCACAAATGCAACTCCACATTCTTTGCGTCCTTGTTCCTTCCCACTATATAGAATTGTGTGCGCTTTAGTGTCCCTGGCACCTTTCCCCAGCCATCTTGTCTCCTGAAGAGCAGTAATCATGAGCTTATATCTTTTTCGTTCTTGCAGAAGTGCGGTTTGAGCTCCCGGTTTATTTAGTGTCATCACATTCCAGTTTCCAAATATATAGTCCATGTTTCGTAGCTTGAGTAGTTTCCGAAAGTTCCGACCTGTATTCCCAGGCAAATGTTCAGGTTTCGTAACAGTGTTTTTTCCGGAAGTGGGTTGTCAGCCCACTGCCCAACCTTCCTCCTTTACTCGGGCTTGGGACCGGCAGTGATGACTTTGAGCTACTCGATCCACCCATTTGTCAATACACGCGCGAGTTTTTCTCTGATTAATTTCTCGTAATAAAGGTGAGAGTACACAAAACCGACTGAATAACTCTTTGCGAGAAATTCTTTGGAAAATTCTTATTCTATCCGAATTCTTATCCACTAAATCATCGCTACTTAATGGTCACACTTTGTAATAGTCCTCAATTAAGGAGCCAATCTCGTAAAAAGTTGTTGCTTTAATTATTAACTTGATTTTTATATTGTTGAACAATCTGTTCCATTATAAATTTACATATTTGACAACTATTTTCTTTTAAGAAAAGTATGAAAAACTAGGTAAGGTATGGGCTGCTCTGTGAATAGAGGTGAAACGACAGTATTCACTTTGAGTGGTCTGGCTATATTTGTCTTTCATACATCTATCTTCTTCTTGTGGAGGAAATCTATTTCAAAACATAAAAATAATTTAAATTTTCATATTCGAGAAAATATCTACTAGAAAATAGTTATACCATCAATTTTATCATTTACATCAAGTTTGTAAAAGAATTTGTGTTAAATAATATAAACAAATTTATTTACTTAAAAAAGCTGCGCTTTTGTCTCCTAAGATTGGCAAATGATACACTTTTTGTCACTTTACATTTAGTTTATTTTGTAATTGATTTTTACATTATAAAAAAGTGAATATAGAATTCAATTCAAAAATCAATCAACGCAGATTGCAGTTAAATTCAACGCCATCAAAAGGTTATGTTATACTTACACAGTACAGCAGCATATGCGTAATCCAAAAGCGCTGCTAAAGAGAAATAGATCACCGATCGAGTGCTCCACGTTTCAGCGTTTTGTTCACGATGGCTGTATACCATGAATAACAAAAGATTTTATTTAAAAAAATTTCTTTAAAAGGTATATTAATATAAAAACCCTATTGGGCTACATCACAGAACGTTTTCGGAATAACTATTCCATTATCAGTGCTATCTGGATTTACTTGTTTGAAGCCACTAAATATATGGGTAAAAACACTTTAAATGTAGTTAAATTAACTTAAAATTACACATTTTATGTTAAAAAACTAAGATGTTTAAGTTATAAACGGAATTGGTCACATGGTAAAGTAGAACTCCACTGGGGTTGCTAGTACTTAGACGACGTGTCTGTGAGAATTTGTTGATAGCAACCGAATAATCAGGAGTTTTTTTAAATAAAATTTTTATTCTTATTATGTGTACAATCTTTTAATAGTTTCTTGCGATTTGATATTTGTAAATATATATTTATTTGTAGATGAATCTCCATCATTTGTTTGCGAAAAAATCGGAGTCGAACTAGAAATAGATCGAATGACAGACATGGCTGTTAACGAAATGATGAAAACAAAAAATGTTTTATACATATCGAGAGGACAACTTAAAAACCATACGAGTACAGTCATCAATTTTACTATCGGAGTGAGATACATTCACCAAAGAGTCAACATGCCATTACTGAGGCTACTACATCAAATAAGTAACATGTATCAGAATGTTAAAGATACGCAAAATGAATTGAGGGAACAACAGCCGGTTGAGATAAGGAGACCTAAAACTAGTGCGAGCGATAATGTGGATATCAAGCACCATTCATCCAGTGAGTATTGAAAATTTTGTTAAATACTAGATTCTTTTATAAAACCAATATGTATTCATAAATGTTAAACAAAGTATAAACTAATTTGCCACTCGTTACAAAATTTATACTTTAGGATTCAGATAATAATTCATTATGTAAAACTGTATACATACAAATGTAATACACATCATCTTAAAAAAAATAATCCATAATCATCTGTAAAATTAGCCTCCTTCACAGATACAATTGAACTTGCATGGTTTTGATTAAATTCATTAAGTATAATTTAGTAAATTTTTTGTGTATGTCATATTGGTAAAACGGTAGGTGATAGGTATAGGTTTTTGTTATCTTGATATGTAAGTGATTTAAGGATTTGGCAATGCATCAAAGGTATTAATTTTTTTAATGGCCCTCAAACATGGTGGGATCCAAATGTAGAAACGCTCCTTTTTGGAGTATGGCTGTACCCTATGTGGATCTGTTAGTAACATTCTTCTTAGAAAAATAGATGCCATGCAAAATACATCTTTAAGTATTTGGCTTTGTTCAATGAAAATAACGGATCACTCACCTACACATAGAAGTAGTTGAACCAATACTAGAATTTTAGAAGGTGACATCTTTGTGAAAAACATAGACCTGTTGAATACCGAACTATTTAATAATATATATAACTTGCATATAGTATTTTTTACTAACAAACACAGGATTTTAAATAATTCTCCACCATGAAAAATACCTCTAATGTGGTTTGTGAAGTAATAATAATTACTAATCTCTAAGTGAAACCACAAATTGTAAAAACAATATTTATTTACTAAAATCTAGAATGCCCTTCGACATCACTGTCGTCATCTGCTTTAAACATAGGAGAAGCTAAATCAGCTAAATAAATTCACAACTTTAAGAAAAAACTTAGTGTACAAAAGGTTCTTAATATAAAAAATTGCTACTTAGGAAGTTTAATTTAAAGAAAAGCGGCTGGATTGCCAACGCTATAGGGAACATCTAATTACTATTTGAAACCTTTCTATAGTGGGTTATTGAAAGGGCTCAAAAAATCCAATGGTTTTTCTATGGGTACCATTTTGGAGAGAGGATCAGAGCTAGTGACATGTGTCAGTATTGTCGTAATTACTGTCAATCGGCATCAAAACTATTCGGGGATACAGTTGGTAATAATAATCTTTAAAATAGTATGGAATTTATGAAAAAATTAATGGATGTTAACAATATCTGAGACAATCACAAAAACTGCTATAAACCAAAAGTATAGTTGGGTGGTTTTCGAAAGATAATTTAGTTGTAAACTGAGTAGGCACTACATTACTTTTGAATTTAACAAGAGACTGAAACAAGGGGGAGGGAAGCAATTGTTGGAAGTCTTCCTTATGAAGGCTAACTGGAATTCCTTCTCAAATTATTATATACTCCTGCGCATCCCATGTTATACCTACTTATAGTAAGTCTGATAATAAAGCCGGTCGAGCAATGTAATAGAAAACATAAATTAAGTCAAATATACAATAACAAAGAAGTTAAAAGTAATACTCACCTAACGGCATTACAGATGGGGTCGGGAAATTTAGTAAGTTCACGTGAACTACAACATTAAACTAAATTAAAAGTTTATGTTAAAAATATAAGGCTCAGATGGCAGAAGCTGTTAATTCAAAAAATTTGAATGCCTATATAAGGTACATATAGGATTTCGTAACAGTAGACATGTACATGAGCTACAAATATTTCACAAAAACCATTGTCTTTGTATTAACGATCTTTTTAATGCCCATAAAGATCAACAGAAAAATAAGTAAACTAACAACTGGACAGTAGTTTGTCATAACAACCCTATAAGATACATAGCTGCACGCAGCGATACCTCAAAAAGTTTGACGTAAACATTTTAGTTTCACTAAGGTTCATAACAATTATTGTAAGATTTGGACATGCATGTTATCCCCAACATCTTTTTCTAACTGATAACTGTGAACATTGAGGAAAGACATTGTGGTTTGGATCAAATCTTTTTTAGTGTTAAAAACACAAAAACATGCTCCTTTCATTGACTTATCAGTTCTGACATCGAACCTAACAAAAAGCTTTAAATTTCATAATATAATACTTATCGTAGCCAAATGTAAAATTGTAAAGTTAAGTTCGTTGCATTTTTTAACCTACGTATATACCTACTCACTCCGCGGCATAACTTTTGTATTCGTACTATTTTTTGTAAACGGGCAATGTGTTTTCACAGACTCAAACCCTCATCATACAAAAGCTTTTCTTCCTTATATGAAAGGTGTCATTGACAAAATCGACAAAATTCTTAAACTAAGAGAAATAATAACAATATTTACCCCCCAACAAAAACTTTTATTTCTTTTCCGGATCAATCAAAGACAACATTCCAAATTAATAACATGAAGTTTATGAAATTTCTTGTGCAGACTGCCCCTAATCCTATATAGGCCAAATAAATCGTAGAATCCATAATAGGATTTATGAACATTTCATTACTTTTCGCAATTCCGATTCAATTTCGGCTCTAAGTCAACACCATCTTCATACAGGTCACAAAATTGATTTTGAAAACTTCAGAACCATAGCCCCCATCTGCTTCTATAAAGCAAGAATTATCCTAGAAACCGTAGAAATTGAACAAAAGCCAAATTATCTCAGTAAAAGAGATGACTGCATACTGTTCGACATTGAGACTCATAAAAAAATATTGTCGGCTCCACGTCATTCAAAATCATACTGTCAGAAATGTTCGCGCCAATCCCCACGCTAACCCACAGGCTAACCTCCGTATTAATGAACCATCCTCTGTTCCCAGTAACAGTAATGCATTGGTTATCAGTGATCAGTGTAGTAGTGTCTGGGGGCTCTGGAGACTAAGACCTCGAAAGCTCTGACGAAGACATCAGAGTAGATGTCGAAAGCTCGGCGAAATGATAATAAACGCGGTTCAACTGACGGAAGACTGTTGAGTTTAATATTAATTATTGTAATAGTATTAATCTTAGCGCTAGGTTTAATTTTACTAACCGCGGAAATCTTTCGGAACATTATATAAATCATCCAATTATAAAAATAATGTTTAATTAATGAATATTTTACTTCCAGATTCTGACATACACTATCCCATTACAGATATCTCGAAACAGCTCAGTCTAAAAATATCAGATCCTGGATCATACTCATCACAACACAAGCCAATAATCTCACCCTCTCCGAGTATCAGATCTCGGCCACAAAGTTTTGCTCAAAAATTGAGATCGACAGGCAAAACGGTGAAGGGTTACGTTAATTTAAGTGAGGGAGTTGGGACGCCTATGACCATGTCAAGTCCATCCGGTTCAGCTCTTGACCACATCACGGTATCTTCTGATAAAAGTACGGGAAGATGTTGGAAGACTATTTATTATTTATTGGAGCTATACGCTAACATGCCTGACACTAAGACTATAAAACATAGATTTTCTGTTGGGACGAATGACATATCTGAACATTACAAAGGTAGTAGGAAATACGATATTCTAACAGAGATACGATCCACTGATGACATGGACAAATCTGATACTAATCCTAACGTAAATAGTGCAAAAGACAGTCAGAAATCAAAAGGTAAGTGGTTTAATTTTCAACAAATATTATGATTTATTATTATTTATTTTTAGGATCCCCTAATGAACATACAAAACTAATAGTATTTGGAGTAGCAAGAATTCACAGAACGAGACTTCTAGCTACCCTTTCTGGTTTAAAATTGGAAGCCGAAATTACTAGTCTTCATTCTTCCCTAACATGTCGTAAAAAATCAATTCCGCAAATTTTAGAATGTTCTTTAACTGGCCAAGTTGGAAGAACCATGATCGTGCTACTCGAAGGTGTAGCACCAAATCAGCAAACCGTAGTTAAAGTGACCATAGGGAAATCTCAGGCACTATACTCCAGTATAACTAAGCGACAAAAAGACAAAAACTCTGGACTTTTAACAGTAGGTAAGGAGAACTTTTCATTGTTTTAATAATTTAAAGGTATACATATTTAAATTTTTATTAATTGAAAATTTATTAAAGGAGCTGTCAATGTCGACATTCCCCAACATCCCGTAGCCTTACATGGAATGGTAACTAGAGGAAGCAAGCAATTAAGTTCTACTTTACAGGAATTAAGAGTAACAAGAACGTCTAGCAGATTGTCTAGATTACCCATGGAAGATGAACAACAAAGTTCTCCAAATCATCATGTCAGAGATGAGCCTGTACCCAGTCAAACATTTAATAAAAGTAATGTTACCGAACAGAGCTTATTGCAGCCTTTAGTAATGCAATTTTCTGTAATTTTACAGGTAATCTATAATTTAATAATTAGTCATTTTCTTTTTTACTGTATTTGAGCCCAAAGTTAACTGTTAAAGCCACCTTATTATTTAAGATCCTTAGTTTTGGGCGCCGTTCAGTTCCTATTCTGTTTCTTATATCTTACCATCTCATCGGCTGAACTTTAGCCTACCACCATTTCTTTTTTATACATTTTTGGCACTTTGATTATCTTTTTTATCATATTTAAATCTTCAGCTCATTCCTACCATCTTAATAGATATTTAGTAGATTCTGTTTAACATAAGTATCAGCCATATGATACTAAATGAGAAACAAAGTTATTAAAAGTTAAAAACTATTTTGGTGTTTTGGGGTTAAATTTTATAGAACAATATGTCGATATTCGTTTATATATTAGTATACATGATCTACCCCAGGTGAGTAGGATGCGTCCAGAATCTCACACTGATTTATCAGTCTGTCCCAAGGATTCTGGGGGGGACAAAAAAACTGACTATACGGAAACCCAAAAAACCCATAACTCTCTACGTTAGTACATACAATGCCAGAAGTCTACTGTCCGAGGAAAGATTCACTGAAATGGAAACTGAAATGAATAAAATAAAATGGGATGTCATAGGTATTAGCGAAGTTAGAATGAGAGGTGAAACTTTGAAAACACTCAAATCAGGGCATATATTCTATCATATTGGTCCTGAAACTACATCAGTTGGAGGCATCGGTTTCTTTGTCCATAAAAATCACGCGAACAAGATAATAAACATCAAAAGTATATCATCTAGAGTGGCATATCATATTCTGAAGCTGAACAGTAGGTATCAACTCAAAATTATCCAAGTATACGCTCCAACAACAGACCATACAGACGAAGAAATTGAAATGTTTTATGACAATGTATCCACTGCGATTGATGATTCTCGTACTCAATTCACAATTTTATGTGGTGATTTCAACGCAAAAAAAGGGGTAAAAGAAGCAGATCTAGAAACATCTTTAGGACAATTCGGTTCCCCAGGAAGAAATGATCGAGGAGAAAAGCTACTAGGATTCCTACTCCAGAATAACTTATTCAACGTGAACAGCTTCTTTCACAAAAAGATGCACAGAAGATGGACTTGGGAAAGTCCAAACGGTAGAACAAGGAACGAAATCGACTACATCATAAGTGATCAAAAACAAATAATTAAAGATGTAACAGTACTCAACAAGTTCACCACAAACAGCGACCACAGGATGATACGAGCGAAAGTTCAAATCAATATAAAAAGAGAAAGGAATATAATGATTAAAAATAAATTTCATGGTATCTGGACACCCCCATTAGATATCAACCAATATCAGACACATATCAATAATAAGCTTCTATTGCAGGAAACCTCCGCTAACGATATTAACGACTTGAATAACTGCATCATAAACGCCTTACAAGAAAGTCACCGAGTGCACTGTCCTAAAAGAAAATCAGATAGTAAAATAAGTCCATATACTGAAACGCTCTTGGATCAAAGAAGACAAATGAGAAGCGATAAGAATGTAGATAGCAACACTTTAAGAAAAATGAACAAAACTGTTTCGAAAGCAATTAGGAGAGATTTAAGGAAATTTAATACCGATTATATTAAACGCACTATAGAGGAAAATAACAGCCTAAAAGTTCTACGTAGAAAGCTAACGAATGGGAAATGCGAAATTCATAAATTAAGAAACAAGCAAAATGAAATAATATCACGTAGAGACGAGTTAATACAGGTCGTCGAAGAGTTTTACGAGGACTTATATAGAAGTAGACGAGAAGATAAAACAGGAATACAAACAGCCATTTCAAAGAAGATCAAGAATCAAGGTTCCGAACTAATGCCAGAGATAAAGCTAGATGAGATTCGACAAGCATTAAGAAAAATGAAAAATAACAAAGCCCCAGGAGAGGATGGAATCGTAATAGAAGCTATCGTAAATGGAGGAGATATGCTATTAAATAAATTAAGGAAACTATTCAATCTATGTTTGCAGCAAAGAGAGGTGCCCAAAGAGTGGAACAATGCTACAACCATCCTTTTGCATAAAAAAGGAGATAGAACGGACCTAGAAAATTATAGACCTATTAGCCTGTTGAACCACATATACAAGCTCTTCACTAGGGTAGTGACATCAAGATTGGAGAAAAAATTAGATTTCTACCAACCGAGAGAGCAGGCAGGATTCCGCTCAAATTATGGTACCAATGATCACCTCCACACAGTAAAGACACTCATTGAAAAATCTATAGAATATAACAAACCTCTTGTTCTCACTTTCATAGATTTTCATAAAGCGTTCGACACGATCGAATTAGACAGCCTTATAGAAGCAATGAATGACAGCAGGATTGACCATAGGTATAGTGAGCTTATTTATAATATTTACAAAAATGCCACTATGACTGTTAAAATAGACAATAAAACCCGACCAATAAAAATAAATCGTGGAATAAGGCAAGGAGATACATTGTCGCCGAAATTATTCATAACGGCATTAGAATATGCCTTTAAGATGATCAATTGGGACCACAGAGGAGTAACGATAGACGGCGAAAAGCTTAACCATCTCCGTTTCGCAGATGACATTGTCCTTATCACAGATAATTTAGGAGAAGCTACAGATATGTTAAACGAATTGGATTTTGCATGTTCGAAGGTGGGCCTGAGAATGAACTTGACCAAAACTAAGTTTATGACAAATTTGGTCCCCAATAACCATTTGACTATTCAAGACAAAGTGGTAGAACTGGTGGAGAAATATACGTATTTGGGTCATGAAATAAGAATCAGCAGGGATAACCAAACATGTGAGATCCAAAGACGAATTACTTTAACATGGGCAGCCTTTGGAAAACTGCGAGACACACTTAGGGCCAACATACCAATCAGCCTCAAAAGAAAAGTGTTTGACCAATGCGTATTACCGGTCATGACCTATGGGGCGGAAACTATGACTTTAACCAAGACCACGGCTTCGAAACTGAGAGTGGCACAGAGACGAATGGAACGGTCTATGCTGGGAGTGACGTTGAGGGACCGAATAAGAAACGAAGATCTGCGAAGAAGGACGAGTATTACTGATGTTGTGGAACGCATAGCGGAACTAAAATGGAACTGGGCAGGCCATGTAGCGAGAATGCACGATTCACGATGGACGAGCAAAATTACAAATTGGAGGCCAAGAGCAGACAAACGCAGTAGAGGAAGACCACCTACACGTTGGGCCGACGACATCAGGCGTATCACTAAAAATTGGCAACAAAGAGCACAAAATCGTGAGGAATGGAGGAGTTTAAGGGAGGCCTATGTCCAGCAGTGGACGTGATAAATAGAGACTGGATGATGATGATGATTAGTATACAATCATTCTTATTGATGTTTTGATCAATTTAGCTTTGTTTTAGTTAGTTTACACCTCTTTTCTTATGTGAATTTAAACTTCGAATAATTTTTATTATTTTTCATTGTAATTCTAATGTTAATATTGTTAGCTAAGACATGAAAAAATTTGAAATATGTTATTATTAAAAATAAAGAACAACAGATGAATCAACAGTTGAATCAGCAGATTGCTGCAACTACACATTTAAGCAAATACTATCATTTTATAAGCGTCAATAAAAAACTAAAAATTCCGTCAAATAAAGAACTGGAATACAAAGTAAACGTATAACTTGCATGGTATGGAACAGGAATGATAACACAGCCCAACAGATCATGCTATTGTAGAATCAAGACACCAATCGAATATAATAAACGTCCGCACCAGAAGAGGAGCAAATGGGGATTCTGATTGATGAAATAGGTTCTAAACATTGAAATACATTGAAATCTAAACATAGGCTTTGTTGAAATTAAATGGCCAAATAGGTATATGGCCTAGGAGGACAAATTCGTTCAACTTTCCGTGCTCGAATCGGTATCAATAGACTGTTGTGAATCATTTCAGCATCCCTGCTGCATCAGACACTTGAGTTGATACAAATTCAAACTCGGAAAGTTCAAGGAATGTCTTCTAAAACTTTGACCACTGCAGTAGTTAGCGTACAAAGGTTCCACCTACTTTGGTGGTCAAAATTAATACTAGAGCGATATGCTCTTAATATTTATTATTCTTATTTTAGTTTAGTTTATTTATACCGAAAGATATTTTTCTTCTTTGACTGTATTTTATTATCTTTTAGAGTTTAAGTATAACGGCAGCTCTTTTACCATCCTTACAAGCTCAGTACAAAATGGACCAAGTTAACAGTACTGGTTTTACTGGAAGTAAAGCCCGATTCACGATTGATTTACCACATCACTCTCTGAGTTTTACCACCAAATTACCTCAGGGTAAATATCTTTTATTTTTATTAATTAGTTATATTATTGTACTATAGTTGAACCTGAGTAAGCTGGAACTTAACTCTTGATCCTTGGACCAGGGCGGATATGTTTTGAGTTAGATATGAGAGATAGCATTCGGATTTTTGCAGAAATATTTAGGTGGTAACTTCAGTAATACTAATTAACTTATCATCCATCTCAAATAAGTCTGGAACCTTAATAAAAAATTAAAATACGGAAAATTCATGACATGCTTTAAAAATTGAAATTCCTGAGTGACCGGTTAATGGAAAAGTGATAAATTTTAATGGTCTCATGAGAATCTTAAAGAATGGCAAAAATTGCGCAACGTTTATTTATTTAATACTTTTATAGAAACTGACTTTAATTGCGACAAAATGCAAAATTGTATAAGAAAGCTGCACTCTTCGCCTTTAAAACGCTTTTTTATTTTTGTCGATAGGACACTCTGATCAAAAGATATCCAATTTTTACCGTCGAATTGATACAAGGTTTATCTAAAATTTCGTCACTTTCAGCGATATTTTTGAAGAATGGTTTATTTCACTAAAAAGTGTTTATTTTTGTTTTTTGCACATTTTTGTTTAAAATTGTCTCAGCTACTCAATGCGGACGATATAACCATAGTAGCAACAGATAAAAGGGCATTAAAGAAAACCTTCCAAGAAATAGAAAACGAAGCCAAACTGTGAGGATTGGAAATAAATGAAATAAAACAAAATACATGAGCGTAAACAAGAAAAAGAAGACAAATGACAGAACTGACAATAGATGCAAACAGTTTCGAAGAGCTTGAAACATTTAAATATTTGTAAGTACTAGTCAACAGAAGAAATGACAGTGTAGATATAAGAAGGAGAATTCAAACGGGAAATACAGCGTTTTATGGAAATAAAGTAATGTTTAGAGATAAGAAGATAAGCCGAAACACAAAAATGAAAATCTACAAAACGACCGTAAGACCAATAATAGTATATGCTGCAGAAACATTTACATTAACAGCAAGATAAGAAGAGCAATTGAGAGTTTTTGAAAGAAAGATTATTAGAAAAATACTGGAACCAAAGAGGAAAAATAAAGAGGATGTAAGATAATGGATGAATCACGAAATACAAGAGAGAAATGAGTCAAGAGAACATAGTTAGAGTAATAAAAGCACAAAGAATTAGATGGTATGGACACATAATGAAAAGAAAGAAGAGCAATCCGTTAAGAGTTATAACGGAATGGATACCACCTTAAGTCAATTACTATTACTGAAGTTCACCTAACTATTTCTACAAAATCCAAATTCCACCTCTCACATCCAAATTTAGTCGTTTTTTCACAGATCCGCCCTGGTCCACCTATATGTGACCCAGAGTGTCGTGATTATATACGTTTTATAATGTCTACACATTGCATTTTACTGTGCATTCACTTTGAATTTATTTATTGTGAAAAGGGGTAATTAGTGATTGTTGAATATTAAAAATATATTTTTATAAAACATCTTTTAATTTTTTTATTAAGGTTATAACCAAAACGAAAAGGCGGAAACAAATCTCCCTTCGGAAGCAAGTATTGCCCTCCCAGCTGTTCATGTTGTAGCCGAATACATTCCTGAAAACGCAGCAAGTGGCCTAAGAGATGGACATCGTGGTCCAGAAGGAGTTATATTTAGACAGGGTGGTTATTTAAATGCAAATGCCGATATAGGTGTCTTCGAACATAGTCTTACCACTGATCTTTTAAACCATCTAGTTTTTGTTCAGAAAGTATTTATGAAAGTAAGTAGTTTAATTAATTTGTAAAGATATTAGCAAGTGATAATAATAACATAATAACAATAACATAGCAAATGATAACATAATAACAAAGTTAACCAATATACCAAAAAATATTTCCAAGTAGCAACTAGCTAAGCTATCCAAGTACACTAGCAACTATGTACACATATACATTTTTAATTCTTAGTAATGTCTTTCAAAGACGCAAGGCATGTCTTCTTGCATATCAGGTCTCCTGGTGAATGTCGCTTCTAAGTATTCAAATCTTTCTAAATATTAACTTGTAACCTTTGCAGTTATTATTGGCAGATATTGTGCTTAATAAAGAAACCCAGGTAATCATCCGAAGCAAAATCAGGAAAGCCAAACAAGAATGGATGAGCAGCAACTGTGAGGAATTGGGAGATTTACTAAAAAAGCATGACTACTTTAATGCACACAAAAAGATTAAAAAAGTCACAAATGTGAAGAAAAAAATCACTACGACAATTTTAGTAGATGATAACAATCAAATAGTATCTAGTCCAGAAAATGTAGGAGGTATGTGGGAAAAATACATACAAAAGATCTGTTTGATGACGAGAGAACAGAACCATAAATGAATATAGTACAAGAAACAATACTTGATATATTAACATCGGAAGTTACAAAAACAATCAATACGGCAAAGCCACGAAAAGCCTCTAGATAAAGTATACGTAGAGATGATAAAGCTTATCAATGAAGAAAATCTTCAGACGTTAACACTATTATTTAACAAAATATATACCACTGGAATCTTCCCAGAAGACTGGCTTTGATCGACATTTATACCTGTATCCAAGAAAAATAAAGCAAATAGATGCCTAATTCATTTTAATTAGCCTGATGAGCCATTTTCTCGCTTGGTACAAGGGAGGCATTATTTGGCCTCCAGATAATACTACAAAAATGCGAAAATACGTGTTTCTCTGTTTTATCGACTACGAAAAAGCGTTTGATTAAGTAAAACAGACCATAATACCGTAGCACTTTAATTAAAAAACTATATTGGGATCAAATGGCATCGATCAAAATAGACAATCGTCTGACAGCAGAATTGCCAAAAAAAGAGGAGTTCGTCAGGGCTGTGTACTTTCTCCACTGTTATTTAATATATATTTCGAAAAGATCTTTTCAGAATGCCCTCGAAAATATTGAAGAAGAAATAAAAATCAACGGAGAATACATAAACAACTTAAGATACGCAGACGACACCGTCATTATTGCGGACAGTGCTGAGGGTTTACAACGACTTTTGAATGTCATAACCAGAGAGGGAGATAGCTTGGGACTAAATATAAACACAAATAAAACAAAAGTAATGGCTGTTACACGTGCACCAAATGTCGATATTAATATTCGTATCTATAACAAACATATAGAATCAGTACAAAGATTCCAGTATCTTGGTTGCTGGATAACCAATGATCTTGACTACGAGGTCGAAATACATGCTTGTATAGAATATGCTAGGTCCGCATTTCAACGAATGAAAAAATTCTTAACAAACCCTACGTTATCGTTGGATATCCGATACCAATTTGTAAAAATGTTTATTTATTCCATATTGCTATACAGAGTGGAAACATAGACTCTCGGAATTACAAGTATGAGGCGTATAGAAGCCTTTGAGATGTGGGTTTTTCGAAGGATGCTGAAGATCTCTTGGAAAGAGCACGTGACCAACAACGAGGTGCTAAGAAGAATGGGTACTGAGAGAGAATTCCTCATCATCATCACTGGCTCGACAACCCTTTTTGGGTCTTGGCCTGTTCAAGGATTCTTCTCCATTCTGACCTGTTTCGTGCTTTTTTTTTCAGTTTTTAATTTTTAATGTTGTTATATCATTTTCTATTTGTTCTACGTATCTCAGCTTCGGTCTTCCTCTTGTTCTTTTTCCTACTGGCACTTGTTTGAATATTTTGTTTGGTATTTCGCCTTCTTCCATTCTTTCCACATGTCCAATCCAACGTAGCCTTCCCATTTTAATGAATGTTATGATATCCGGATCCTGGTATATGTTGTATAGTTCAAAGTTATACCTTCTCCGCCAAATCCCGTTTTCTTTTGTGCCCTTATATATGTGTCGCAAGATTTTTCTTTCAAAGGTGACTAATAACGTTTCCTCCCTTTTAGAGAGTGTCCAGGTTTCTGAACCGTATGTGAGTACCGGTCTTATTAAGGTTTTGTATATTTGGCATTTTGTTTTTCTGGAGACGTTATCTGATCTTAGTTGCCTAATTAAGCCATGGTAACATTTATTGGCAATAAATATTCTCCTCTTCACTTCCTCTGCAACGTTGTTATCAGACGTAACTAGGGATCCTAAGTATGTAAAGTTTTTTACCGCCTCAATGTTGTATTCTCCTATTGTTAAATTTTACAGCTGCCTTATTTGTGCGTTTTTATTTGCAGGCATATATTTTGTTTTTGTCTGATTGATTTTAAGAGATTTGATTTTGAGAGATTTTTTGCAGCTCGTTCTATTTGAGTGAATGCCTCTATCATTTCTCTTCTTGATCTTGCGATTATGTCAACATCATCTGCAAATGCTAGTACTTGCACGCTTTTATTAATTATTGTTCCTCGGGTATTAACTGTTGTGTCTCTTATTATTTTTTCAAGTATGATGTTGAATAATATGCATGATAGAGCGTCTCCCTGGCGTAGTCCCTTCTTCACATCTATTGTTTCCGTTAATTCGTTTTGTATCCGGATTTTACTTTCTACTTTTAGTGTTTCTTTTATCAATTCTATTAACTGTGTTGGTATATTAAATTCTTTCATTGCTTTTGTTAGGAATTCTCGGTTTATATTGTCATATGCGCTTTCGAAGTCTATGAAGAGATGATGTGTGTCGATGTTATATTCACTTGTTTTTTGAAGGATCTGTCGCAGAACAAATATCTGGTCTATTGTTGACTTCTGTCTACAGAAGCCACATTGGTATTTGCCAACTATTTTTTCAGCGTATGGTCTAAGTCTTTCATACATTACGTTGGACATTATTTTGTATGCCGCATTCAACAGCGTGATTCCACGGTAGTTTTCACATTCCAACTGGTTTCCTTTTTTATGTAGTGGTACAATAATGCCGCTATTCCACTCCTTTGGTAGCTGTTTATTCAACCATATCTTTCTTATCAGCTCATGTATGGCTTTAAGTAATGCGTCTCCTCCTTCTTTCAGTAGCTCCGATGATATTTGATCCGATCCCGGTGATTTATTGTTCTTTAATTTGTCCACTGCTGTTCTAATCTCTGCTATTGTTGGTGGACTCTTTTCTCTGTTGTCTGCTTGGTCTAACGGTATATCAGGGTTCATCTCCGTCCTATTCACCCCAAGCTTTTCCTTAAAATGTTCTGTCCATCTTCTAAGTATCTCTTGCTGTTCTGTCAATATATGACCCTCCTTATCTTTACACATCGTTGTTCTCAGTTTGAACTCTTTTCTGCTTTTGTTGAGTTTCTGGTCAAATTTTCTTGTCTCTGTTGGTTTACTTAGTTCTTGTAGTTCTTGAAGTTCTTTGTTGATATATTCTCTCTTCTTTCTTCGGTGAATTTTCTTTTCTTCTTTACGTAGTTGTTTATATTCTTCCTCTGCTTGTCGGGTTCTGTGCCTCTGTTGCATCTGTAGATATGCTCTGTTTTTTCTTTCTGTTATAGTTTGACATTCTTCGTCAAACCAGTGATTCGTTCTTGTTCTTCTTTCTTTACCTTCCATGCCCAACCCCTCTTTAGCTGTTTCTTTTATGATTTCTCTGCACTCTTCTCATTCCTCATTTAGGTTTTCATGTTTTAGTCTGTTTTCTAGTTTGATGCTTATATTTTCTTTGTACTCTCTATTTTTGTTTGTTTCTTTGAGTCCTTCTATATTGTATCGTTCATGTTTAGAGCCTCTTTCCTTTTTGATGTTTGAAATTCTAGCCCTTATCCTACTTTCGACCAGGTAGTGATCAGAATCCGCATTTGCCCCTCTTCTGGTACAGACGTTTATTATATTCGATTGGTGTCTTGAGTCTACAATAACATGATCTATCATATTAACTGTAAGTCCGTCTGGTGATTTCCAGGTGCCTTTGTGTATATCTTTTCGAGCGAAGTATGTGCTGGCAATCACCATGTTAAGTGATCTTGCTAGGTTTACCAACCTATTGCCATTGTCATTTGATTGCTCATGGAGACTGTGCTTACCTATTGTGGGTTGGAATTGCTGCTCTCTTCCAACTTTTGCGTTTAAGTCTCCATAAATTATTTTTATATCACTTTTTGGGCATGACTGGTATGCGGACTCTAATTCATCATAAAACTCTTCTTTGACTTCCTCTTCTTTTTCTTCTGTGGGGGCATGCGCATTAATTAGGCTGTAGTTGAAGAAACGTCCTTTAATTCTTAAAATACACATTCTGGGACTGATGGCTCTGAAGTCTTTTATTATATGTCTTACCCTCTTGTTAACTATGAATCCAGTGCCCAATATGTGATCTTTAGGAGCGCAGCTGTAGAAAATGGTATGGCTCTTTTTTTCCATAATATTGTTTCCAATCCACCTCATTTCTTGTAAGGCAGTTATGTCAATTTTGTATCTACTTAGTTCGTTTAAGAGATTTTGGAGAGCCCCTAATCTGTACAATGTTTGAACATTCCATGTCGCAACCCTCAAATCGTGTTCCTTTTTCTCGCACAGTCGTCGTCGTTTAATCAGTCCGGCTTTTCTTCCTTGAACGTTCATAACTCATGGTTTTTCTAGGAGAAGGTAGTTAACCTTCAGTCCAACCCCCTATTCGTCGGAGGACCAAGACTCCCTTTTTCGTCAGCCCTGACCCCACCTTCCATTGGGGGTTGGTTACCCAATCTCCAGTGGTGTTGCTCAGGTTACCGGTGTGTACCAGCTTGGACGTGAAGATAGGAATTGAGTAGGAGATGCTAAGTGACGCCAACAGGATACGGCATCATATATTGCGCTTCACTACCCCTTCACACACCGAGAGAGAATTCCTAAGTATTGTAAAAAACAGAAAAACGAGTTATCCAAGACATATTTACAGAGCAGAAAAATACAACTTCCTACGACTTATAATGGAAGGGACAGTGGAGGAAATAAGAGGTCCAAGAAGAAGAAAATGCCCCTGCTTGAAGAATGTAAGAGACTGGACAGGCATGGACTCATATTCGATACTAAGTACAGCTCAAAATAGAGAGCAATTTGCTGTAATTATAGCCAACCTTCAGTAATGGAGAAGGCACCTTAAGAAGAAGAAGAAGAAGATTATCCTTGTATGCCTTCCACAAATTTATTGTTTACTTTATTTATGTCCTTTCATTGTTTCTTTTTCTTCTTGTCAGTTTAATAATGCCTTTAATTCCCCGTTTTACTTCTAGATAGCACTACAAGATCACCAGCGAATGTTAGATCCTGTTAATGTTTTCGTTGGGAATTTCTGCTTCCCTTATGATCTCTCTTCAAGAATAATATTGAACAACATCGATGAGAATGAGTTCCCTTGTCGCATCGATTCACTGACTTCAACCTCTTTAATTTTTTCTTTCTCTGTTCACAGGTATTCGGAGTATCAGTTTTGTCACTATTTTTAACTTTTCACTGATATCCATCTTTAGTGATGACCTTGCGGAATACTACAAATATCAAATATTTTGCACAATTTGACAATGTTTTTATCAGCTAACTTTACCATGGCTTTTTGTTTTGTTATTTGCTTTCTTTTGTTTTCTAAATAATTAAATATTCTGCTTGTTTGTTACAATACCGTCCATGTAAGCTTATTTACGCTGTAAAGCACTTTAATTGAATATATTCACTTAGACATATCGATTTTCGAGGTTATGTACGACAATAATAAAATCGATTAAACATTTACTGCAAATTAACTACTACTGCAAAATTGGAGTTGCTTTACCTACACCTCCACTTTCGGAAATCGTAAATACAAACCTTTGAAAAAAATATTTTTGTCACACTGTTACAAGGTCGTAACTTTCTATTAAACATGGTTTGCATTGTTCTAGGAGGTTAACGAAGTTGTACAAAAAGTTTATGGTGGAGAAAGGCCAGTACCGATATGGTTGGAAGATTCTGAAGAAGCTTCCAGTGTGACCAGATTATTATTTTCATTAGTAATTAAAATGCAGAGGATGCAATTAACCGCGACTACAGCAGGAAGTTCAGCTGTAAGATTGGAGACTGGTATGAAATAAAAATTAATACATTGGTTCGTTAGTAAACTTACATTATTGTTTCAGGTGCTGTTGTTTTAGAACTTTCCAACAGAGTTCAAAATTTATCTGGTTCGACAAAGAAAAATTCAAGTACTAGACTTTTTGGAAAAGCTCAAGTTGATTTAAACCTTTCTTTGGGTCAACTGATACGGAATGCTGTCTTTGAGGAAGCAGATATAGAATATCAACCAGTAGCTTTCTTTAACACAAGAATCGCTCTTAGAAATGCTTTTCAAGTTAGTAACCACTGCTTATTTAAAAATATTTTGAATCATAATTTATTTTCGTTTTAAGGATGAACTAATTGAGGGTGAAGACAAAGAAGTTGTTCTTATTACGCTGAAACGACCGCTTATTTACGTACAACCCGTAGCAGTAGACAAAGCTATTTTGGTATGGCTAAACTACAAAAACGCCTACGATTATTGGAACGAAAAAAGAGCTAATTTGAATAAAGAAGTTCTAAATGCAACTCAACAAGTGTATGAAAAATTTCAACTGGGACAATTAACTAGTCAACTTAGTGGGCCATATGTTGGTACCTTGTTTTTACAACTTACTGTTGAGGACATGGGAATCTGTCTTCCACTTAATCCTCTACCATTAGCTAACTGGAGTCAACGAAACGTTTATGACGATAATAGAGGAGCGGTCGTTATTACTTTGGAGAATACTAGTATATCAGGTATATATGAATTTAAATATAAGTTACTAATTACTTTTTATTACTATGTTTGAATTAACAAAAATATTTTTCGATTATAGGTTTTCATGGCCAGTGTTATGTAATAATATATTGATTTACGGAATTATAGGCCGTGATCAATAATGATCTCTTCCCGACGTTTCGTGTGCGTATGCATTAGATATTATCAAACCCGATGCGACAACGATTGGATTTTTTATTTGATACGATCGTTTATATCTCGCGTTCTGTCGATTGGTCCCAATCTGAATTGGAAATTTAGGTGCATTTCCGGTGAGGTTTTGTATTCCGTAGTACTGCGATGTTTAGATGTTATAGCAATTGTTTCAACTGTTAATTTACAACGCGTTTTGTTGTTGCAATGTATATTGAACCACATCTGCAAGAAATGTCCTAAATTTCTGGAGTCGACAATGGATCTCATGAATTTTTAGACGATCTCAGACTTTCTTATATATTCTTCTTCGTTTATAAATATCGTTATTAGTTCGTTCTAATTTAATATAAAGTATTTCCAATTTTGTTATTGTGTTTAGTTTTCAGAATATATTCAATAAAAACTGCAGCTTGTTGTTACATATTGCAGTCATCTCTAAAACTACACTATGGTGCAAAATTAATCGGACACTCAGATTTGTCCTAAAAACTGGCGTTTAAAAAGGTTTTAAATGTTCCCAATTGAGTATTTAATCATAAACAAAATTAAAAGTCAAATTTATTACAACTTAAGAATTTTACACAGAAAAAACAATAAACAATTCAAAAAATTTAAAAATCTTTGAAAAATATAAACATGTTTTATGGAAAACGATATTCAGTAGAGTGTATTACATCCACGAGGTATAATTACTGCTCTCATTCGATCAGGTATACTTCGGATTTATTTCAGCAAAATCTGCTTGAAGGATTTGCTCCCATTCGTCACAAACTGCTTGCTCCAAATCATTCATGGTTTCAAACTCACCGTGGCCACGTCGAATACGACGTCACAGAATATCACTCGCTTGTTCTATTAGTTTTAAGTCTGCACCTCTTGGGGGCCATGGTAATAAACGAATCCCAACTTCATCCAAGTAATCCCGTGTTATTCTTGCGATGTGCGGACGAGCATTATCTTGCATCAGACGAAAGTTTTCTCCAAGAAATGGGAAAAGTGGCACTACATAATCTTCCAAACATTGCTGAATATACCGTCGAGCGTTCAAATTGCCCCCTTGAATTGTAACAAGTTCTGTATGAGTCTCTAGAGAAATGCCTGCCCACACCATTATCCACTTCCACCAAATTGAACTATCGAAGTAAAACAACATTGCTGATAATGTTCACCAGCTCTTCTCTATATCCTAGGCCGCCCATCTGATGAGTATCTGTTAAATCTTGATTAATAAGTGAAAAGAACAGCACTACAATCATCAACATCCCAAGGAAGATGTTCCCGAGCGAAGTGTAAATGTTGTCTCCGATGATCTGCTGTTAACAGAGGTCCTGTGTCCTGAGAGAGAGAGAGAGAAAGAAAGAAAAAGGAGAGAGAGAGAGAAAAAAAAGAGAAGAGAGAGAGAAAGAGGAAAGAAAGAGAAGAGAAAGAGAAGAGAAGAGAAAGAGAAGAGAAAGAGAGGAGAAAGAGAAGAGAAAGAGAAGAGAAAGAGAAAGAGAAGAGAAAGAGAAGAGAAAGAGAAGAGAAAGAGAAGAGAAGAGAAAGAGAAGAGAAAGAGAGGAGAAAGAGAAGAGAAAGAGAAGAGAGAGAGAAGAGAAAGAGAAGAGAAAGAGAAAGAGAAGAGAAAGAGAAGAGAAAGAGAAGAGAAAGAGAAGAGAAAGAGAAGAGAAAGAGAAGAGAAAGAGAAGAGAAAGAGAAGAGAAAGAGAAGAGAAAGAGAAGAGAAAGAGAAGAGAAAGAGAAGAGAAAGAGAAGAGAAAGAGAAGAGAAAGAGAAGAGAAGAGAAATAGAAGAGAAGGGAAAAAGAGAGCTAAACTAGACTTTTTATGTATGGTAGAAATTACTGAGAACTACTTTTTTCTTTGAGTTATGTGATGAGATTGTAAGAGTGGGGAATCGGAAGTCGGAAGTGATTTATTGTAAGGAAGCGGAAGCTATCTGAAGGTCAAGGAATGGCTTCTCGAACACATCCCACTCAGTTACACATCCATTTTTTTTTTAAACATTTCTTCAAACTCTAAAAAATTTTGTTGGAATTTAAAACACTGTTTGGGGCGCATTATTTACTTTTCAGAAGATGTAGACTTTATATGTTTTTATTGATAAGTTTTGATACTCAATTTAGTGATTACAGTATAATTATATTTCAGCATGTAATTCTGGTTCGCTTGTAAGCAAAGGTAAGTTTACAAACCTTTGTCTCCGATTTGCCGACGATTTTGAAAACTCTTTGGATGACTGGAAACCAGATATGACAGATTCGTCAATAATGAACCTGTGTGTGGTAAGCGAAGGAACGTATGAGGTCTGCAGTCGAACTATAGCTGCCAAACAGCCAAATGGTAAGTACATTCATTAGATGTAAAAATAATCATCAAATTAAATATTTTAATTATGAACAAAATACGTAGATGTGGTTTTTATAGTTTAAAAATCACTTTAAATAATATTTTTACATATTTGCTCAAACTACTTGACCGACTACAACTGATCAAAGGATCAGATGTCAGAAGTAATCTATTTAAAACATCTCTGTTACAATCAATTCTTGAAAATTTTCGTGAAAAGTCCACCCGATATTTTAGAAAATGCTTATTACGTGCTTCAGCGGCCTCCTCGGACAATTGCCCTATTGGCAGAATTGTCTGTTCGTTCCATCACCTGCGGTCCATGTATTAGGATTTTATGAACTGTAGGGGACATTGGATGCCAGCCGTACAATTTGACATATAGTTTGGCAGTATCTTGGGCATAATTTTCAAATTTTTGGGGTTCAATCTCATGACCACTTGATATTACCTCAATAATCACTTTAAACCTGTTAACTAATTCTCTGTAGATGCCTGTGATGCGAGAAGAGCATTCTGTTTTTTGAAAAAACCTCCTAGACATATTTCCATCATTACTATTTCCATAGCCTGCTTTGGGAATATCAACAAGTAGACTCATTTCAGCTCTAAAACATTTCTGAATTTTCTCTTTGTTTCCTTAATAATTTTTTTGTCTTCTGGTGTACGGGCCTGCCACTTTTTTATGGGTTCTTTATATGCTAAATGCAATATCAATTCGAAAAAGCGTATTCTGGCATGGAGTACTGAGAGCCCAAACTGTAAAGATTCTTTTTTAATGGCACCTATTTCTAATTTATTAAAATCTTTTGATGTCTGACCACATAATATAACATCGCATAGTTGATGCTGTGTCCGTTGCGGAGTTGCAAACCTTTCCGTCCACCATTGTCAGCAAAATATTGTGACTGATTTTCACTGATGTTGCACTGTCTTTAGTCTCTATAAGATATTTTGCCTGATTTTCGATGTATTCTATTTATTCTTTCATCTTTCGTTTCGTGGACAAATCGAGCTCTGATAGGTCTGCAAAATCTCACCGAAGAAAGAGTAGGATTCTGCCAAATGATTTTTATTGCTTTGCCATCAATAGAAACAACCAACCTCACTGGAACAATCGAGCTCATAAATATATTTGAATCATCATCTGCGACATTTTTAAATTTTTGCTTAAATTGAGTTTGGTGAGACCCATCACATCCCCATTTTGATATTAAAAGTAGGTGTTACTTTTCAGTATCATGTAATGACTTCTTTTAAATATTGGATGAAGCGCAAAGCCGTATGATCCAGCAACGCTTGTAGTTCAACATTAAAAATGGTCTCCGTAACAGTTATTTTGTCTTCATCTGGGTAGCACTCTTTTTTTGCCTTTTGCAGCAAAGATGAACAAGGGTAGATGTACTTCTGTCCGACTTGTAATAAGGTCCACTGGTTTCTCGTGAAGTTACCTTCTACAAATAACGATAACGCTTCCTGTGGGGTATATTTCATCTCCACGTGGTCTTTTTTAGACGAAATTATCTTTCTGATCTTCTTGGCTTTCGTCGGTGTTGAAGTTATTTCTTTAATCATCTTTGAAGCATCTTTATTCCCGGAAGTACCCTGACTTACACGCGCAGCGAAAGTCAACTCCTCGACAGGTACGCAAGCCCGTATTTCTTCAGTTCTCTGCCGCTTGCTCCTTTCACTTAATTCGTGGAACTGTTTAACTGGACGACCGGGCTTAAGTGATGACCACGAATCTTCAAGAGCTACTCTCTGAATTTGAGAGGGTTGTTTTGATTGATATTGTTGGAATTTGGGGTTTTGAAGCTTACGTTATCCAGTAAGCAACAGTCTTTTTGAAACACAGTTGTATCAAATATTTGTCTAAAAAGTGTTTTAAACTTTTTTCAATAAAACTATAAATATATTTGTAGAAAATGCAAAATGGTTTCTCAATGTACAATGGCAGATGGAAGGCGTTGACATTCATTTAGATACAAACGTGGGTAAGCAATTATCGGCATTGGGTCATACTTTAACAATGCTGACAGGTGCTGAGGAAACTGGAATTCCATTAGACTATGACAGCGATGACAATGAACCTGGCGATGGTACAAGAGCTTCACAGGAAAGCATTTTACCTGCGTTTATGTTCGATCCAAATATAGACAACAAAATTAGGTCGAAACTTATCGAAAAGGAAATGAACGAACAAGCAAAAATTATTAACGATTTAAGGTCCTTAGGCGCTTCACATGGTACTATAGAAATGGAAATGAGAAGATTGCAAGAGTTGGAAACTATGGTATATAAAGATTTCAGAAGGTTTGTAATTAAAATAGTTTTTATTATTATTTGGTTAATATACTTTTATTATAGGGACATGTTGCAAAAACTAAGAAGGCAAAGCGTAAGGGCTTCATCTATCAAAGGAAAATTTGGTTTGGGTTCAAAACCTACAACATTTAGGTCCAAATCATTCGTTGTTCCTAGTGCTATGCCCGAAGGAAGAGACAGGTACCTCATTTATTTTAAAACTATACCAAATATCGTGTTTTTTTTAATATATAAATTTGATTTATTTTCTGCACTTTCACCGTTTCGTTTTCTTACTTTCTTTAGGTCAAAGTCTTTAGTAGTAGTTCCTAGTTCCCATTATGACAGTAACGAGAGGTTTGTATTTTTCTTCATAGCATGTGGTTTCACAGATATGTCTCGTTTTGTCTAATACAATTAAATAATGCTTCATATTTGTTGCTAATACACTACACATACTTTAAGGTAATAATTGTTATCGAATAATATGAATAACGTTAATCAGCTTTTTGTCCGTTTAATAAATATTGTAGAGAATAACATTTTATCTAGATACAATGCAGTCAACGTTAATAAAGATAATGCTATTTATTATTTTTTTCATGATTCTAAATTTACTGCAATCTTGTTAGTGCCACAATGATTAATTCATATATAAAATATGGCCGTCGAAAGATCAAGATAACACATTTCTATTTAAATATCTAAATCATTTAAAGAAATGGAACCAAAACTGTTCTTATTTAATTGATGGATTCGACCGTTACTTGATGGAACTTCATTTTATCTAACAATAAAACACTGAAAACTTTTGTTTTCAACACACAAAATTTATATTAAATTAATATCACTGCAGCTGTTTCGGCCAGAGTGTAATCTATTTTTGGTATATGTTTACACTTTCTATTCCTTAACTGAATAAGTTAAGGAGTAGAGAACGATTTGTCTGTTGGTTATTCAGAATTATGTCCGTATTTTTTAATTTGTTGATTTCCATAGATTTTATTAAAGATAGCTTAAGGCTTCTATAAGAAGTGATGGTAGAATTTGTTCTTCTATTATTAATCGCCCTTTTATGTTCAAAAGTTCTACCAGTTTTACCTTATTCGTATTTATTTCGTATTCTTTCATTATTTCGTCAAAAGCTTTAAATGTACGGAAATGTTATATCCTATTTTTATAATCTCCAATTAAGATAAACGATACCTACCCACTTGTAAACTGATTGTTAGATTTTTTTAAACCAACAATTCAGGTATACAGTAGGACAGTATGTATTGCGAGTAGTTAAAACACTATAAATATAACAATATTTTGTAGTAATATCTTATATTTGCATATTTGATTCTTTTAGTCGTATAATAATAAATGAATGATAAATGGAAAATAGTTTCCGAAAAATATAAATGATATGTATTATTAATGTATGTATGTATGTATTATTAAATGTATAATAAAATGTATTATTAACTTAGCGGATGATAGCGCCAGTGACATTAATCATAAATTTCATACATTAAATTTTTTATTAAATTTTATTATACCACATTCTATAAAGTATTTTTTTACGTATCTCAACACTTAGAGCATACTAGTACATCGCCCAAGTATCGTCACCAATATAAAAACTTTACAGGAACTGACAGGCAACTTGACCAATTCTTATCGTATATTAATTCACTTCATAGTCATATTGATTTTACAATAGAAACAGAACAGAATCCTACCTACCAATACTAATACGACTATACACAATTAAGTATTTCATTCTACACAACAAAAATTGGCAGCCTAACATAGCATCTTACATAGATTAATAAATTCCTATGTCAAAAAACAACTTCGAGATAGAATTGAATATTATTAAACAAGTAGCAGTAAACAATACCTCGTGTTTGTATTGAAGGCTATCGTCCATTTAGGCCATGATCGACAGGCGAGTAAAACCGCGGTTTTATATCTCGTGTGTAAAGCTAACCAGTGTATCATTGCAATACCGCGGATTTAAATTGGCTCGTCATGTAAAACTGCGTTTTTAATACACAGCAGATACCTCGCCATGCCTTTAAAATAGTCCTTCCCAAAGTTTACCTAGATCAAGAATTCCCAAACTTTATTGTACCACGCCTCCTTTTGTTGAAATGAAAGTTTCTCGCGCTCCCCACCCCTTAGCAATAACTTGTATGGGCCTAGGAATAAAACAAAAACAAATAAGTGTTACATAGAAAACAAAACATTTATTTATGCTGCCATCAGATAAAATAATATCAGTTTTTATAAAATACAAAAATTATTAATAAAAGAAATATAGATTAGGTTGGTTACTGAGATGGATGTGCTTGCATTTTCTTTACTAGTATGCCTATTCGTGGCTGAGTTTTAGTAAGTGCACAACGCAAGTCACTAGCAGCATCCAGTTTATTCCGATACTTTGTTTTTGGGACAAGTGTTGCCAAGCGTGTGTTGGAATTGTCACAAGTGTTGAAAATCCTTTTTCGCACAAATAGGCGCTTGAAAAAGGCAAATATAAACAAAGAGCTTCCCGTGATACACTAGGATACACTTTGAAATATTTTAACCAAAATGAAGGTTTGTCCATAATATTCAAGTTGTATTTAGCAGAGGAATCATGTTTTATTTGCAAAGCATCTTCTTTAGGTGCTTTCTGCAGGGAGTCAACATAGACATGTTGACATGGAATGGGTCAATTGACATTCTGAAAATACTATCGTCACAAGTGTCTGGGAAATATTTCTGGAGCCCTTCAATTAGACTTGATCCTTCATAAATGTCCTTGAAGCGTGTTTCTTCTGAGATTGACTCTACTTTATGGAAACTCGAATAATTGCAGGGGTTTGCTGATATTTTACGCCTACTAGGTTGCAATTTCTCAATATAAATTTTGATCGCATCACGATGAGTAACTATATTTGAGTCTCCATCCTGCAGTTTTAGGTTAAGGCTGTTCAACGAGTCAAAGATGTCTGATAAATAGGCCAATATTACTTAGGTACAATGTTTTTTGAATGCCACGCTTAGTTCATTTTGCTTTTGCTGTTCCAAGAAGGTGATTACTTCATCTCGAAGGTCAAATAATCTTGCCAGCATGTTTCGTTTTGAGAGCGATTATCGTACGTCTGTATGACATGAATGAAAACGCACTGTTTTTATGTAATTGACTACTTTAATACACAACTTTAAGACAGCATTCAGTTCATTTGAAAGAATTTTTGCTGTCAAGGCTTGTCGATCTATAACACAATGTATCCCAGTTACATCAGCATTTTTCTCTCTTGCTAATTGTACAAACCCTGAGCGAGAACCAAGCATTAAAGGCGCGCTATCCATACATACACCAATCAGGTTTTGCCAAGAGAGTTTATGTTTGTCAAAAAAGTCTGACACTGCTTTCATAACATCAATAGCTTTTGTCGTGATCTTTAACTCTGTAGAAGAGAGTAGATCGTCTTTCATTCTTTCGTTTTCAATATACCGAACATAAACAATTAACTGAGAAAATTGTACTGTATCTGTACTCTCGTCTAGCTGAATAGCAAAAAATGGCGATTATTTTACTGCATCAACTACCTGGTTTTGTATGTCTTCGGCCATATCATCAAAGCGACGTTTCACAGTATTGTCAGAAAGAGGTATTTGAGATAACTTTTGCTTACTCTGCGTTGCAAGAATAATCAACTGCCTTTAACAAACACGGTTTAACAAGCGTTTCTCCAATAATATGGCTCTTCTTTTCTTTAGCAATCAGAAGTGAAAGCTCTTATGAAGCTTCAAGCACTTTTTCAGATGACTGAGCCGTAGAACCAGTACTAACAAACTTCATGCGTTTTAAATTTTCAGACTCTGAAGCAAAAATTCCTTGAGTTTGCCCAAAACAGTTATGTTTGGATGACAAATATCTTTCAAGACGATTAGATCTCAGTACATCATTGCTTAATACTTCATAGCAAATTACATACTGAGGATGTTCGACATTATCTTTACGCATACAAATAAACCCATATTTGATATAATCATCATTATACTTGCGTTCCTTTGCTGAGCTAATCTTGACTACAATAACTTCTCTCACTCAAATCAACGAAATCAATAAAAGTCAACTACGACAATTAAAATTTCACAACACGTACGCTTTTATAATGCAAAAATTGTTGCAGGCTAGGCCGAGGTACCTCAAACACTGAGTCACAATTGATTAGCCGCGGTTAGCTGGCTTGCTTCTGGTGGAGGGAAGGAAGGAGGGAGGCAGTGCTTGGAAAAGCTCGGTTGTCAAATGCGCGCTATTGCCACATTGAACGGCTCACATTACATTCTTTCAAGCATTCGATTTCAAATTTATGTGTAAAGTCAGATGTTTTGTTTTAATTTTCTAAACATCATGGTTAATTAAGAATGTTAGAAAGCCTACCTAAATTTAATTTAATTTTCGACTTGTCCCGCGCCCCTCCTGACATGTCATCACTCCTCCAGTTTGGGAACCCCTGAGCTAGATGTTAAAGTAGAATACTTTATAGTGTTTTGTATTATAGGTGCCACTAAAGACAACAATTAATTGTGCTATTTTTTAGACATTCTCAGATAATTTCTGTAATCAACTGGTTCTACTAACAATTCTTAAATTCTTAAACAATTAAATGGAAGTGCGACAATTCTTGCCTTTTTTCTATTTAACTTTTAACCTAAACTCTTAAGCGCTTTCGCTTATTTTTCATTATTTTTCGGTGTGCTATAGCGAGGTAACACAAAACTTCAGAATACAGAATAAAAAAGACATGTTCAATTTTCATTCAAACACGATGTTTGGCCGCAAGTAAAACAGACGTTCTTTAAAACCGCGATATAGACTCATTCATCGAACATCAATTTTAGAGTGTTAATATATTTATAATGCCGAGTATGTCCCGTGTATTCCCATTTACATATAGTTAATCTGTAAACTTGTTGTTTCCTTTTGTAAATATTATCTGTTGTGTTTGAGTGGCATTTATGTTAAGATGTTAATAATCTTATTGATGTACTTTGATTACATTATTGACTATTGATTACTTTATCCGCCAAATCGCCAATCACTGAAGATATTCTATAATATTTGCAACTAAAAACGTATCGTCGGGTAGGTTGTTTATCCAGTGATTCTAACAAGCAAGCGGTAATAAAATAACAGCTTTCTAAATGTGGTGTTCGCGCAGGATCATGCATATCTCATGGATGCATCGTCTTAAATGCAGAGTATTTCTGTAATGGGTGCAAGATGTAGAGATGGATCAACGAAAATAAAATATGGAAATCCAGGTACAGCCATGAATAATTGTATCAACTGTTTGTGGTCGGGTGGTCTT